TGTTGACCAGGATGGTCTCGATCTCTTGACCTCGTGATCCACCCGCCTCGGCCTCCCAAAGTGCTGGGATTACAGGCGTGAGCCACCGAGCCCGGCAAGACCCCCAACTCTTAAGGAAAATAGCTAGGTGTGATGGCACGTGCCTGCAGTCCTAGCTACTTGGGAAGCTGAAGTGATCTCTGGAACCCAAGCAGGGAGCTATGATGGCACCACTGCACTCCAGCCTGGGTGACAGATAGAGACACTGTCTCTAAATGATAATATATAAAAAGATTTACATAACCCTCCAAGCTCCCTTTCACTGCTGTATACACCCACCTCCTTCCCCATCCGTCACCCAACTGTCCTTCCCGCTAACAAGCCAGTGGCACCCCCGCCAGGGGTCTCACAGCAGTAGGTGCAGGCAGCCTTGGCAGGGGGCTTATCACAGATCTGCCTCTGGCCACGAGACCTTCGTCAGCACCCCCCCGCGGCTGCCAGCCGCAGCTGCCCATTCCCCTTAGCTCTATTCTCTCTATTCAGGGGCCTCCTGCTGTGCACTCCAAGGGGGTGCACGGTTCCAAAGAGAGATCAAGGGATGTGGGGAGCAGAGAAAGGCACAGCTTGGGGTTGCCGCTCAGCCAGGAGTAGAAGGTCTCTGGAAGGGCAGAGCAGCCCTCCCGGCGCTCTGAGCATGCGCCCCACGTGGAAAGCAACAAGGGGTGGGGATGGAAGTTGGGGGGGGAGGGGCCTCCAGACTGACGCAGGCGCAGAGGTACTGGCCTCGCTCGGGCTTTTCTCGCTCCTGCGCAAGATCCTCCAACCCGACAGGGGGCGATGAGCTGGTCCCTACGCGGGTTTGCCCCGCCAGAGTAAACCGGAAGAAGCCTCTTACTAGGGCTCCGGAGGCGGAGGCGGCGGAGGCGGCGGAGGCGGCGGCGGCGGACGCTTGGGGTCTGGACGCGGCAGTGGCGGCGGCGGACGCTTGCGGTCTGGACGCGGCAGTGGCGGCGGCGGACGCTTGGGGTCTGGACGCGGCAGTGGCGGCGGCGGACGCTTGGGGTCTGGACGCGGCAGTGGCGGCGGCGGCGTCGGCGTCAGCGGCAGGAGTATGAACGCCCCTCCAGCCTTCGAGTCGTTCTTGCTCTTCGAAGGCGAGAAGAAGTAAGTGACGCCAGCTGAGAGGGGCCGAGGTTTGCTGGGCTGCGACTGTCGCATTCTGGGGTGTCTCTTGCCCATGTCTTGCTCCGGGAGGGAAGCAGCTTTTGCTTGATAGTCCGCACGGCCTGTGTCGGCCAAATTTAAGCCAGTTCCGCGAGGCAATGGCGAGTGTGTCCATTTGGCAGATGAGGACACTGAGGCTCGGAGGAGCAAGTTGCCCCAGACACGGAGGAAGTGGCGGGGCTTGTATTCGAACCCAGTGTCTGGCTCTCCATAGCCCTCTTCCTCTGGGACGTGGCAGCCTCCTCTCTCGTCTCCCACCTGCCACCTCCATCCTCTGTCTCCTTAGAGATCTGCCAACGGCCTGTGTAAAAGCCGCAGTGGCTTCTTGCTGCCTGCAGGTTGAAGGAGTCCCGGGGACAGACAGCTTGGGCTTGGCCCCTGGGTCCCCCACTTAGCGACTGTATCTGTACGAGTGTCTTGATCTGTTGGAGGCCATGTTTCCTTTTCTGGTAAATGGATTTATTACTGTTCTTTTTATTTATTTTTTTTTTTTAAGCGGAGTTTTGCTCTTGTTGCCCAGGCTGGAGTGCAATGGCGCGATCTCGGCTCACTGCAACCTCCGCCTCCCAGGTGCAAGCAATTCTCCTGCCTCAGTTTCCTGAGTAGCTGGAATTACAGGCATGCGCCACCACGCCCGGCTAATTTCTTATTTTTGGTAGAGACGGGGTTTCCGTATGTTAGTCTGTCTGGTTTCGAACTCCCAGTCTCAGCTGATGCTCCTGCCTCGGCCTCCCAGAGAGCAGGGATTACAGGCGTGAGTGACGGCCTCCGGTCTATCACTGTTCTTAAACATGGGATTTGGCCAGGTGCGCTGGCTCACGCTTTTAATCCCAGCACTTTGGGAGGCTCGGGTGGAGGGATCGCTTGAGCACAGGAGTTCCAGGCTCCAGTGAGCTATGATCGCATCACTGCACTCCAGCCTGGGTGACAGAGATCTTGTCTCAAAAAGAATTGGATGAGGTAATTTGTGTCAAGCACTTGCTCCAAAACTCAGCACTGGGAAACCACTGGCTCTTACTGTTCCCAGGTTGGCGTGCAGAGGTCTTGGTCTGGCTCTTGACAGCCACTTTGGCCTCCTTTTTTGGACAGTCTCACTCCATCACCCAGGCTGGAGTGCAATGGTGTGATCTCACTGCAACCTCCACCTCCACGTCCCAGGTTCAAGTGATCTTCCTGCCTCAGCCTCCTGAGTAGCTGGGATTACAGGCATGCGCCATCACACCCAGCTAATTTTGTATTTTTAGTAGAGACCGGGTTTCTCCATGTTGGTCAGGCTGGTCTCAAACTCCCAACCTCAGGTGATCTGCCCCTCTCTGCCTCCCAAAGTGCTGGGATTACAGGTGTGAGCCACTGCGCCTGGCTTGGCCTCATTTTAGAGCAGACTGTCAGCTGGGGACCATTTGGCTCCACAAGGGGCATTTGGCAATAATTGGGGACATTTATGGTTGTCAAAGGGGGTTATGACTGGAATCTACTGGATAGAGGTCAGGGATGCTGCTGCTGTCCTGCAAGATAGCACCCCACAGGAAAGAATCATGCAGCCTATAATGTCTATGGTGTCAACATGGAGAAACTACCTTAGAAAAAAGGAGCAGTCAGGCACGGTGGCTCACACCTGTAATCACGGCACTTTGGGAGGCCCAGGCGGTTGGATCATGAGGGCAGGAGTTCAAGACCAGCCTGGCCAACATGGTGAAACCCCGTCTCTGCCAAAAATGCAAAAAAAAAATAGCCGAGGATGATGGCACACACCTGTAACCCCAGCTGCTCGGGAGGCTGAGGCAGAATAACTTGAACTGGGGAGGCGGAGGTTGTAGTGAGCCTAGATTGTGCCACTGCACTCCAGCCTGGGCAACAGAGCAAGACTCCATCTCAAAAGAAAAAAAGGAGCCGGCTTAGGCATGGTGGCATGCGCCTGTGGTCCCAGCTACTCAGGAGGCTAAGGCTGGAGGCTGCAGTGAGCTGTGATCACACCACCGCACTCCAGCCTGGGCAGCAGGAGGGATCACTTGGGGCGAGGAGTTCAAGACCACCCAGGATGACAAAGCAAAACCTCATCTCTTCCAAAAGAAAAGAGGGAGAGGACAGACAAAAGGAGGAACTCAGAGAAGGGACAAGGTTCTATAGACCTGGGGTGGCAGGGGGCAGGGGATCCGGTTGGAGAGGTCTTTATGGGATGAAGAGATTGAGAAAGGTCTTCAGGAGGAGGCAGAGCTTTTCATTTTTATTTTTTTGAGACAGTCTTGCTCTGTTGCCCAGGCTGGAGTGCAGTGGCGCAATCTCGGCTCACTTCAGCCTTCACCTCCCAGGTTCAAGTGATTCTCCTGCCTCAGCCTCCCAAGTCGCTGAGAACATAGGCATGGGCCACCACACCCGGTTTTGGGGTTTTTTTTTTTAGTAGAGACACAGTTTCACCATGTTGGCCAGGCTGGTCTGGAACTCCCGACTTCAGGTCATCCGTCCACCTCAGCCTCCCAAAGTGTGGGGATTACAGAGATGAACCACTGCACCTGGCCGGAAGGAGGCAGGGTTTAGACTTGGGGCTGGAAGAGGGGAGCCCCTGTCCCTCATATGTGGCCTCTGCGTCTTCCTAGGATCACCATTAACAAGGACACCAAGGTACCCAATGCCTGTTTGTTCACCATCAACAAAGAAGACCACACACTGGGAAACATCATTAAATCGTAAGTTTCCCGTCAAAGGCTCTCAGGGGCTATATTTAATGGGCGCCTCTGGGCAAAACAGAAGTTTTAAGATTTTCCTCCATCTCTCTGAGCTACAAGAAGTCCTTCTGGGGGCTTGCTCTGGGCATTTTATAATGGTGGTACCTTTTTATCAAAATGACACTGACCTTCATGTCCTCACATAAGCTACACTTCTGTAGGGGCTTATTCTGTAGACGAACGTGTGCATTTACTTTTTTTTTTTTTTTGACAGAGTTTTCGCTCTTGTTGTCCAGGCTAGAGTGCAGTGGCGCAATTTTGGCTCACTGCAACTTCTACCTCCCAGGTTCAAGCGATTCTTCTGCTGGGACTGGCCACCATGCCCTGCTAATTTTTGTGTTTTTAGTGGAGGCGGGGTTTCACTGTGTTGGCCAGGCTGGTCTTGAACTCCTGACCTAAGGTGATCCACCTGCCTTGGCTTCCTAAAGTGCTGGGATTACAGGCATGAGCCACGCGCCTGGCCTTCCATTCACTGTTAAGTGCACGTTCTGTAAGTGAATGAGAGCAGGTGCCAGCAGAGTAGGCCTGTGTGTTGATGGGCTGAGGGGCACTGAGAAGCAGTCAAGATTAGCTCCTCCAATGCCACCCCTATTTGTGACCTCAGTGCCCCCAGCACTCATAAGATATATGTGGCAGAGATTAGAACTTCTGTTTAACAAGAGAAAGAGGTAGGGGAGTTCTGTGGCTGTCCCGTGCCAGATAGGTGCCCGGCCTTGGTTAATGGGGTGTTCCTTTACACCACTAAAGTCCTAGCTAGATGGTTTGTCCGGAATGTGACTGCCACTTCGGCCCAGAGACTTATTTCACTGTAGGCTTGGCTCTTCCCTCTGGTGCCATCAGTGAAGCCAGGCTTTTTCACAGGCTGTGAGCAGGGTGTGCCCAGGCACAGGGATGGAGGACTCCTCCCCGGAGTCCAGCCAGGGCAGCCCCTGTGCTCTCCTCCAGCCCAGTGTTGCCACCTGTGCACGGGTGCCCCTCGTGGTGCTCACACCACCCTGAGCTGCTCAAGAGGAGATCCCTGCATGCCCAGGGCACAGCACACGATGCTGTCCAGAGGACAGACTTCCATTCCACTCGCTGCTCAGAGCCTGGGTCCTCCTCTCCTTGCTGCCTTTATTTGCTGTGGGATGTTCTTTTTGGGTCCCATTTATTGAACACTGGCTGGACATTGACTGCCTGGGAGATCTCTTTGCCAGCCCTGTGGTTCTTTGTGGGAAGAGGTTGCTGGAGTGTGTTTCCTGCTCAGGTCCTTCAACCTTAGGGATGCAGGGAGGGGGTGTGTATATGGCTTCTCCCCTTCAACTTCATGGATGCAGGGTGTGTCAGAGCTGGGGGTGGGGTGTCCCCATATGATGTATCTTCCTGAAAGCATTGCTTTCCTTGAAGACTCTTGGGGGGGAAAAAAAAACTGGGGGGAATATTTGGCTAGAAAGCCTGTTCTTTCACTCTGAGCTGGCTTCTGCCCGGCCTGAGCCCAGAGGGCACAAGGCTAGACTCTCACACTGTCTGTTCCCGGACTGCAGACAATTGCTAAAGGACCCGCAGGTGCTCTTTGCTGGCTACAAAGTCCCCCACCCCTTGGAGCACAAGATCATCATCCGAGTGCAGACCACGCCAGACTACAGCCCTCAGGAGGCCTTCACCAACGCCATCACTGACCTCATCAGCGAGCTGTCCCTGCTGGAGGAGCGCTTCCGGGTAAGGGCAGGGCCTGGAGGGCAGGGCGGGCTGGATGCTGGGCCCCTGTGCCAAGCTGGTGACAGCCCTGGGCTGTTTCTTTGGAGAGGCGGTGCTGGTGGAAGAGCAGGGACGACTTTGCAGGCTCCAGGCCTGTGGCTCCTGTCTGCCCCGTCGGACTTCCATAGTGCTGCAAGGTTCCTCCTGCTGTGGGCTGGATCAGAGCCAGGGACCTGCTATCATTTGGGGCTGTTCTTCTGAGTCCCTTGTCTGTGGTTGGCAAGGCCTGGTCCTTCCAGACCTCTTTCCGGGAGGCAGCTCACCCCAGGGTAGGGCCACACCTGTTAGCAGGGCACCTGGGAGTCGAGGGGAAAGAGCCACAGCTTGGGGGATTTTCCGTGGGCGTCGTCTGCTCACCAGGAAGCCTCTGTGGTGCCTGAGTCCCGCTGGGGCTGCTGCAGAGAACGGCCGGGACCGGGCTGGGCCAGCTGGGAGGGCCGTCGGCTGCCCCACTGTCCTGGGGCGTGTGGCCCATGGCTGCCCTCCAGGAAGGGCCTGGCCAGGGGATGCTGGGCTTGTGTTTCCAGCCCAGTCTCCACCTTCTTCCTCTCTCCCAGGTGGCCATCAAAGACAAGCAGGAAGGAATTGAGTAGTGGGCCGGAAGGGGCTCTGCTCAGCCTGTGAGCCTGGTTCCTACCTGCGCCTGACCCTCCACCGAGAACGGCCGGTCCCAGCCATGGCCCACCTTGCGGCCCCCCCTCACCCTGACACCAACGTGTCCTGTACAGATTCTCTTTTATATTTCTAATAAAATATGGCAGGACAAGACCTGGATGTGGACTTCAGCAGCGGCAACTTCACAAGCACACTGTCGGGCTTGATGCAGGTAGATGACCTGTTTCAGGGGCCTCCGGTTGGTAGGGACGCATTCATTCTGGACCAAAGCTCAGGAGCTGCCGGGGAGGCAGTGCTGAGCCGGGGGAAGCGTGCAAACCCATGAGCTCCCATGGCTCTCTGCTCTAGAAGCCTCAGCTGCTGGGCCAGCCTGTCAATCAAAGTAGGAACACCTTTCCACAGGCTTCTCGACCAGAGTTTAATAAAAATACTCAGATTGATAGGGACACCACCCCCCCACCCCCTATCACCCCAGAGCTGAATAAGTTAGTTAGCTGTGTCCCTGGTCCTTTGCGACGCGTGAGGCTATGGCCTCCCCCAGATGGCTACGATGTTGGAGTCTGTCAGGGCAGTGAGGTAGGTGAAGGAGGCATTGGCCACCACCGTGTTCACCATGGTCTTGGTCACCGCCTGGCCAAGGGCCCAGGGCTGGGGCCACTTCAGGATCTGGTGGGGAGAGAGGAGGGCTGGGCTCCTGCTGCCCAAAGGCAGGGCCCCTGACCCCTTGCCAGCCCGAGCCCAGGTGGAATGAGCCGGGAGGTACCTGTGTGGGGGCCTGCGGGGCCGCCGGCAGCGGGGGCGGCTGCTTCAGGATGTTGCTGACATCGTAGAGCCACACGTTGCCCTCTTCATCCCCGCAGAGCACGATCCCCTTATCTGCCAGGACAGAGGTGGAGCCTGAGTCGGGGCAGAGCTCCCAGAGGCCCTGCGGGGATGGGGCGGGCACACAGGCGGAGGGCAGACTCACCAGGACAGGTGCTGAGTGAGAAGTAGGCCAGCTCGGTGGGCGACCACTGCAGCCGCGCCAGGACCACCACCGCCACCGTGGACTGGCTGCCCCGGCCACCCCATGTCTGCCTCCAGCTCCAAAGGCAGATGGTGCCCTGGCCGCTGCCCTTGGAGGCTGTTGGGGAGAATCAAGAACTGTGCAGGGCAGCCCCTCCCAGACAGCTGCTCCCACTGGAGACCCTCAGAAGCCCAGCCAGAGACAAGCGACCCATCTTCGTGCCCAGAGGCCAGGCTGTCCCAGGCTGGGCTCACTCACCCACGACGTCCTCATTCACAAATGCCAGCCCATCCACTCTCCGTCCAGAAGCCTCGGAGCCCTCGGAGAAGACGAATTCTACTTCACACACCCTGTGGGCAGCAGGAGACACTGGTCAGCCACTCCCTGCAGATACAGAGAGCTGCCCACTCGCCTGGGCACCTGCTGGGGGCCCTGTGTGAAGGCTGCACAGAAGTTGCTACTAAAGAGACGTTCTTGGACCCAGGATGGTTCAGTTTGCCCTGGCAGGGGGAGCCAGCACCTGAGTGTCCCGAGTCACAGTAGTGGCCCAGAGGCTTGAGGGGTAGCTCTTCCAGAACGGGGCTAGGCAAGGTGGTCAGAAAAGGCTCTGGAGCGAGCCAGTGCCTCTGGGACCAAGTGTGAGATGAGCAGGGGCCTGGCCCTCCCGGCAGCCAAGGAGGGCAGGTGTTTCCAGGCCACGGCCCAGGGGGCTGTCGGGGGCCTCTGCTCTGACTCTACTGGGGAGGACAGGCGCGGTGGCTCACACCTGTAATCCCAGCACTCTGGGAGGCTGAGGCAGGCGGATCACGAGGTCAGGAGTTCGAGACCAGCCTGGCCAACAGAGCAAAACCCCATCTCTACTAAAATTATAAAAATATAGCCGAGCTTAGTGGCGGGTGCCTGTAATCCCAGCTACCTGAGAGGCTGGGGCAAGAGAATCACTTGAACCCTGGAGGCAGAGGTTGCAGTGAGCTGAGATTGTCACCGAACTCCAGCCTGGACAACAGAGACTCTGTCTCAAAAAATAAAAATAAATAAAAATCCAACTCTCACTGTGGCTGAGGAAGGCCACCTCGCCCTGGGCTGGGTCCACCCAGCTGTGGCCACAGGACCAGCCGGCTCCCCCACCACTGACCTTTGCACGTAGCATTTCCTCCCTCCACCTGCTGACTGCCTCGCCGGGCTCCCAGGGAGGAAAGCGGAGCCCCAGAACCTATTCATCCGCCGCTGGTCCCTTCGGCAGAGTACCCTGAGGCCCCCACGCTGGTATCCATTACTTTTTTCCCCTCTCCTTCGGAATTGGCATCACATGGTGGGGTTTTGATTGGCCACCTTTGCTTAGCGTCTGTAGGCTGGGGGCCCCAAGAGGACAGGGACCTAATGCCCAGCCCTGTCCTGGAGGCCTTCCAGGTGGGACAGTGAGTCACAAAGCCTCAACATGGCACTCCAGAGCCTGCCGCCTGCCCTCCACTAGCCATCAGCCCCCTTTACAGATGAGGACATTACACTAGCACAGAGGACCATCACACTAATGAGTGGCAGGAGTGGGCCGGGTCACGTGGGCACAGCACAGTGCTGAAGTCCCAGGTGAAAGGTGATCATGGCCCAGTCCCACAGCTGAATACAGGGTGAGGACGGGGTTGCAGAGTCCTTTCCTCCAGAGCCTGGCAGGGAGGTGAGACAGGCCAGCTCTGGGAAGAGGCCTCTGAAAACCCTTACGGTTGCCCAGGTGTGCCTGGGCTGCTGTGAGCCCACCTGGGTTGACAGCACACTGTGCAGAGGCCTGGCTTCTAAGGCACCCCCTGCCCAGCCTCACCTCCTCTTCTGGGGCTGGTCCAGCCGCACGTCCCAGCAGCAGCAGCCACCCTCACAGCCGGCCAGCAGGCGGGCATCCGGGCAGGAGGCGACGGGACAGAGGCGCAGGGGGATGGAGGTGGTGTCCAGCGTGAGCAGCTGGCTGCCGGTGGGCAAGGGGGAGCAGAGTCAGCCCTGGACTGAGGTGTCCCTGCCCCAGCAGCCAGCCCCTCCCCAGCCTCGCTGGAAGCATCACCTGGCCTGGAATTCATAGTCCTGGTTGGGCATCCCGATGTCCCAGAGGATGATCCGCTTGTCATAAGAGGCCGCTGAGGAGGGGGTGGGGCAGGGGAGAGGTGGCCCTGAGGTGGCACTGCTCCCTCCTGCCGGCTGCGTCCCAGGCTGAGCCCAAGGTCCCAAGGCCAGCCCCTCCGAGGCAGGGAGGGCAGGCCGAGGCTAGGAGACAGGAACACTCCTGGGCTGGGCAATCCCTGTCTCTCCGCTCTAACCTGATGCTGTGGCTCCAGCGGCCACCACCCATGGCTCACCCCTCCCCCTTGCCAGGGGCATCCCCCCCAGGTCACTGACAGGACAGAGTGGCCCAGACTGCTGAAAAACTCCAAGGCCACAGAGCAGTCTGTGGATAAAGCCAAGACTGGAAGCGACAGGGCTTCCTACCAAAGCTAGGGGCGGACTGGTGCAAAACCCAAGCTCCCGGCCATCCCTGGGAGGGCGGAGGGGCCACTGGGGCAGCAGGACAGGGGTGCTGGGCAGCCCCAGGGGTGAAGGGGAGGGTCTTACTGAAGAGGTGGGTCTCGTGGGCAGGGCTGAAGCACAGGGTGGCGATGGCCTTCTTGTGGGCCCGGATGACCCCGCAGCAGAAGCCGGCACGCACGTGCAGCAGCCGGACCAGGCCCCGCAGGCCCGCAGCTGCCAGCACGCTCCAGCGCTTCTTGTGGCCGGCCTGTGTGACCACCATCAGGGCGGTCCAGGCCACAGAGAAGAACTCCTGGGCGGGGGTTAGAAGGAAGAGGTCACCGGGGCAGAGCGATTGGCGTAACACACAGGCGAGCCCGGGCCTGGGGGAGGGAACCCCAGCATGAAAGAAAAAGGCCATTCGGGGCAGGGGCTGAGGCTGCCCCCGTCCCACGCTGCTCTTCAGGAGTCAGCAGGAACATGGTCCGCACTCACCTCACCAGACGACTTGTACTTGTGGAGCACGATGCCCGTCTGGCAGTCAATCACGCACACGGCCTCCCCGCCGCACGTGGCCACAGTCTGGGATGTGGCCCCTGAGTGCCCAGTTTTGGGAGGTCAGGTGAGTGGAGGCATTTCCTATCTAGATCCTCCCTGCAGCCCGCTCCTCCCAGCCTTGATGGTGCCTTTTTTTTGTTTTTTGTCTTTTGTGAGACAGAGTCTTGCTCTGTTCCCCAGGCTGGAGTGCAGTGGTGCAGTCTTGGCTCACTGCAACCTCCATCTTCCAGGTTCAAGTGATTCTCCTGCCTCAGACTCCCAAGTTGCTGGGACTACAGACACATGCCACCACGCTTGGCTAATTTTTGTATTTTTAGTTGGCCAGGATGGTCTCGATCTCTTGACCTCGTGATCCGCCCGCCTTGGCCTCCCAAAGTGCTGGGATTACAAGCATGAACTACGGAGCCCAGCGTTGGTGCCTTTAAAGCTCTTGTCTCCTGACCTCCGACCCATCCAGGCGGCCCTGTTTCCAGCGCCCTTGCCCCACCCACCCACCCGCCACCACGTACCCTCCTCGAAGGCTGGCTCAAAGGCGCAGGCCCACAGCTGCGTCTCGAGGTCCCGAGGGCTGTTGTTTTTGCTGTGGCACTGCAGGAAGTGCAGGGGCTCCAGCTTCATCAGAGGCTGTGGGAGAGGGAGGTCACAGCTGCTTTAGCCCCGCTCACCTGCCACCTGCTCCCTGCTCCCTGCTCCCTCAGCTCACCTGGCCGTCATCAGAGCCCGCCACGGGGCCGCCCTCCACCTGGGCCAACGGGGAGGCACATACCCGCTTGCTGGGAGAGAGGCTGAGTGGGACATCATCCGGCCTTTTCAAGGCCACCAGTCTGGCCTGTGGAGGGGGGCCTTGTGACCATGGGCCCATCGCCTGGGGCTTCCTTCCTCCCCATCACAGGCTGGGTCCCACCTCACTGTGGGTACAGGAAGCCCAGGCTGGCCCAGGGTCACCGAGGGAGCAAGCCAGGGCGTGGGGTGCTTCCTGGGCCAACTCCCAGGACACCTTTGTCTCCCGCAACTTCTCTAGGCACGAGAGGCCGGGCTGGCCTCAGAGCCCTGGGAGCCACACTCACCCTGGGCTTGTGGGCAGCTCCGGCTTCTGGGGGCTTCTCTGGGCTGTCAGCCTCGTGTACCTGTGTCCTACTGGAGGCCACCAGCTCCTCAGAGATCATCCGCACCTGGGTGGGGCCAGGCCATCAGGAAGCTGGGCACAGTCCCGGGTGCCCCCAGCCCTGCCAACTCGTGGTTGGGGAAGCCTGTGCTTCAGAGCTGGAGAAGGAACTAACTCTCCAGCCAACAGGGCTGCCCACCCTGACTCACCCCACTCCCACAGCCCCTCAGCCCTTCCTGGCCAGGGACCTCCAGGCAGCTAAGGATCCGAGAGCCAGCGACTCCCTGCACGTCGGGACGGGGACGTACCCGCCACTGGGTGAACTCGCTGAGGGACTCGGGCCCATAGCGGACATCCCTGACGGCCGACTTCACAAAGTCCGCCTGGGTCTTCTCAGCCTCCTCTTCAGGGCCCAGTGTGGCCGTGAACTTCTCCCAGTGAGCTGTGACCTGGTGCAAGAGGGTCCAGATCCAGGGCCAGCCCACCCCAGCACCCCCCACCCTGTCCTTTATCTCATAACACCTCAATCCCGCCACCTGCTGGAAGCCTCCAGGAACCACAGCCTTACAAACAACACAACACATCACAAACAGCACAGCCCAGGTGCCTGCAGTCCCAGCCACTGGGAGGCTGAGGAGAAAGCATCTTTGAGGCCAGGAGTTGGAGCCTGGGCTACATAGCAAGATTCCACCTCTACAAAAAATTTAAAAATGATCCAGATGTGGTGGCACACACCTAAAGCCCCAGCTATTCGGAAGGCTAGGGCGGGAGGATTGCTTGAGCCCAGGAGTTGGAGGTTGCAGTGAGCTGTGATCACACCACTGCACTTCAACCTGGGCAGCAGAGCAAGACTCTGTCTCTAAAAAAAAGAAAAGGAGAGTAAAAAGAAACATCCCAGAAAAAGCTACTTAGAAGAGTCAGGCCGGGTGTGATGGCTCACACCTGTAATCCCAGAACTTTGGGAAGCCGAGGTGGGCAGATCACCTAAGGTCAGGCATTTGAGACCAGCCTGGCCAATATGGTGAAAACCTGTTTCTACTAAAAGGACAAAAAATTTAGCTGGGTGTGGTGGCAGGTGTTTGTAATCCCAGTTACTCAGGAGGCTGAGGCAGGAGAATCGCTTGAACCTGGGAGGCAGAGGCTGCAGTGAGCCGAGATCACGCCACTGCACTCCAGCCTGGGAAATGGAGTAAGACTCCATATCCAAAAAAAAAAAAGTAGCACATCAGGCTATGGGCTGTTGGGGCAAAGAGCCCTTACCAGTCATCGTCTTCAACATCCTCCTGATGTCCAGCCCTATCACTTTCTCAATGCCCCTACAGCTCCCAAGCACACAATAATCCTCCTAACCCCTTACCCTGCTGGTCAGCTCCCGGTTCAGGTTCTCCACCTGAGAGTAAGTTGACGACGCATCCTTGCCGTTGACTTTACGGAGCTTGGGCAGGAGAAAGGAGATTTTCAGGTTGTCATTGACCTGGGGGAGAGGGAGTGCAGGGCAGTGACTCAGGGGATGCTAAGCCTGAGCCCCACACAGTTCTGGCCCCGGTATGAGGCTAGCAGGTGGCCCCGCTTACCGTCAGAAAGGGGTTGCCTTCCAGGCTGAGTTCCTCGAGTTTGGGGAACTGGCACAAGGCAGTGACATCCCCCAGCTGGTTGTTGGCGCAGCGGAGGACACGCAGGTGGGACAGGCCCAGGTTGTCCGGCAGCGCTTCCAGCCGGTTGTTGGACAGGTCCAGCTCCTGCAGCTGTGTCAGGCGGCACAGGAGCTTGGGGTCCAGGTGCTCGGAAAGCAGCTCCAACCCTGACAGGCTGGAAGTGAGGGCAGACCAGGAAGGCTGAGGAGGCGGGCAAGCCTTGCACCCCCACACCAACCTGCCCCGGCTACCTCCGAAGGCTTCTTCACCTGACATTTCTTGCACAAATGCAGCCGCCCCGCCCACCCTCTGTTACTTTATTTTTTAGAGACTGGGGTCTCACTCTGGCGCCCAGGCGCGATCATAGCTCACTGCTGCCTCCAACTCCTGGGCTGAGTGATCCTCCCGCCTCAACCTACCGAGTAGCTGGGACTACAGGAGCGCGCCACTACTCCCGGCTCCCAACCGATTAAAAAACGAAAAAACCTGCAACTAATTTAGGACTGGGGGCAATCTAGCTTCCTCTAGGATGCTCTTCCTGATCCTTCGGAGGCTCCTCTGTGCTTCCCAGACTCTCTAATGCCAGCAGCAGGCTGTGCCCCTAATTGCCCGCGCTCCCTTCAGGGGACGAGGGCCCCCGGGGCTCCCGGCTAGCGGGCGGGGCCGCGATCTCCCAACAAGAAGACATTTGGCGCCACTCTGACGAACCCAGAGGGCGGTAACGGGGACAGGCGGGCCGTGGGGGAGGGTCCCCGCTCTTCTCCCCAACCGCCCCGCGGACACAACCTCGCCCCCTGCCCGGCTTACTCCAGGCTCCGGATCTTCCCCAGTCGGTCGCTCTTGGGGCGCCCGCGCTGCATTAGCAGCCGCGCCGAGAGGGGGCCCATGGCGAGGAGGTGCGGCCCGCGCTGACCCAGTCTGCGGCCCCGGCGTCCGGAGTCACCCTGCGTCTCCTGGAGCCCGGTACTGGCGTCCGCTGCAACGGAGCCCAGGAGGTGGCGCCGCACGAGCCCGTGGGCGGTAACGACCGGAAGGAAGCGGAGCCTGGGCCTCGTGCCCCCGCCCTGCGGGGACTACAACTCCCAGCGGCCGCAGCGGCCGCGCCTGCGCACTGGCCACCCGGACGGAGCCATGGCGGCGGCGGCGGCAGCGGCGGCTGCGGCTGCAGCCGAGGTCCCCGAGGTCCTTCGGGAATGCGGTTGCAAGGGCATCCGGACCTGTCTTATCTGCGAGCGGCAGCGCGGCGAAGATCCGCCCTGGCAGCTGCCCCCAGCGGTAAGGGGTGGGTGAGGAGCCGCGCCCACAAACGTCGTTCTGCATCTGGGGAAACTGAGGCCCAGCTTGGCCGTGACACGGGCCGGGATCAAAGCCTGTGAGCGACCCTTGCGGTAGGGGCGATGCGGGGTGAGGAGATGAAGGCTTTCAGGAGCGGGCTTGGGAGCGGGGAAGGGGCTGGGAGGTGGGTGAGTCCGACCACAGCTCACCTCGGGGACTCTGCGGGGATCTGCCCGCAAACATCGACGTAGCTTCTCGGATCTGGCGTTGAGAGCTTCACGGGCCCGCGGGGAGACGACACGGAAAGGGTCCAGGGTGCTGAATGCCAGGCCAACGATGCCTGAAGGCCGTGGGCTGCGATGGGCTAGGAGGCAGTGAATTCCAGTTAACTAATGAAAAAGAACACAAGGATCGCTCCAGCCCAGGAATTGGAGGCTACAGTGAGCTATGATCGAGCCACCGCACTTCACCCTGGGCGACAGAGCGAGACCCTTTCTCAAAAAAAGAAAATAAATAATAATTTTTTTAAAAACTCAGCTTCTTTGGATTGGCATCGAAGGATTGTGGTTGGTTGCAAGGGCGAGGTGGAGTGGTGATGCTTCAGGTGAGACAGATGAGGTTGGGGGGTCTGACCACAGATAGTCCCCCGTGTGTTGGCTGAGCAGGCTGGACTTGTCCCAAAAGCCATGGAGAGCTCTTGGAGGGTTTTAAAGGAGTGATGAGGTCAAATGTGAATTTTAGAAAGATCCTGGGAAGGGAAGGGGTAGATATGAAGATGTGGAGGCTGGGAAGCCTGTGAAGAAACTGCTCCAGCGTCTATGGTGAAAGTGCCCAGGGTCCTGTGGAAACACTATGGGATGCCTCATGAATTAAACAGAATTACCCCAATCCACAGTCCTACTTCTGGGTGTACATCCAAAGGAACTAAAAGCAGGGTCTGGAAGAGAGATGTTCACACCCACGTTTATAGCAGCATTATTCACGATAGCCAAAACATGGAAGGAGCTCAAGTATCTATCAACAGATGAATTGGTGACCGGGTGCTGTGGGTCACACCTGTAATCCCAGCACTTTGGGAGGTTGAGGCGGGCAGATCATGAGGTCAGGAGTTCAAGACCAGCCTGGCCAACATGGTGAAACCCCGTCACTACTGAAAATACAAAAATTAGCCAGGTATGGTGGCAGGTACCTGTAATCCCAGATACTCGGGATGGTGGGGCAGGAGAATCGCTTGAACCTGGGAGGCAGAGGTTGCAGTGAGCCGAGATGGCGCCATTGCACTCCAACCTGGGCAACAAGAGCAAAACTCCATCTCAAAAAGAAAAAAATTAGCCAGGCATGGTGGTGTGTGTTTCTAGTGCCAGTTACTTGGGAGGCTGAGGTGGGAGGATTGCCTGAGCCCAGGAGGTCAAGGCTCCAGTGAGGTGTGATCACGCCACTGCACTCCAGCCTGAGAGCAAGACTCTTCCTCAGAAAAAAGAAAAAAATTGCAGAAAATCAGATCCATGCCAGTGGCCATGGGTGTGGAGTCACAAGGCATTGTGGAGGTTACACCTTCGCAACCTGACGGCTGTGAAATAAGGAGAGTGAGAATCTCAGGGCTGGAGCCGTTCCTGATGGGCTTTCCAGCCCCCGCCCCTTCATATCTGCCCCTCCCCCTCGGGATCTTTCTAAAATTCACATTTGACCTCATCACTCCTTTAAAACCCTTCAAGAGCGCTCCATCGCCTTTGGGACAAGTCCAGCCTGCTCAGCCGACACATGAGGGACTCCCAGTTTTAATGTGTCCCATGGGAGGGCCCCAGGAGCAGGAGGAGATAATGCCTACCTCAGGAGGTGTCTGAACTGGAGTCAGAGGCTGGAAGTAAAGGGTTAGAAGGGGCCAGGGTCCCTGGACAGAAGAATAGAGGACAGCAGCCCACAGTGAGTGGCAGCCCAGTGTATATGGAGCCTGGAGATGGGAGAGGAAGAGGAGACAGGCCACAGAGCCCAGAGCTGAGTTCTGGTGGCCTCCAGGGTCCTCACTGGGTGACTCTGGCCAGAACCTCCGCACATCTACACCTCCTGCCCTCAATAGTTATGGTACCTTCCTCTTGGAAATGAAGCTAGATAATCCATGTAAAATGTTTAGTGCCATGGATGCAAATACTGGCTATTTCATTAGATAAATTCTTTTTTAAAAATGCATTATTGGCTGGGCGTGATGGCTCCTGCCTGTAATCCCAGCACTTTGGAAGGCCGAGGCAGGTGGATCAACTGAGGTCGAGAGTTCAAGACCAGCCTGGCCCACATAGTGAAACCCTGTCTCTACTAAAAATAGAAAATTAGCCAAGTGTGGTGGTGGGTGCCTGTAATCCCAGCTACTCGGGAGGCTGAGGCAGGAGAATTGCTTGAACCCAGGAGACGGAGGTTGCGGTGAGCCAAGACTGCACCACTGTACTCCAGCCTGGGGTGACAAGAGCAAGACTGTCTCAAAAAATATATATATATTATTATTATTTTCAAGATGGAGTCTCACTCTGTTGTCCAGGCTGGTGTTCACTAGTGCAATCCCAGCTCACTGCAACCTCCACCTCCCAGGCTCAAGCGATTCTCCTGCCTCAGCCTCCTGTGTAGCTGGAACCCCTATAGAAGCACACTGCCGCTGGGCACGGTGGCTCACACCTGTAATCCTAGCACTTTGGGAGGCCGAGGTGGGTGGATCACCTGAGGTTGGGAGTTCAAGACCAGCCTGGCCATCATGGTGAAACCCCATCTTTAAAAAAAAAGAAAGAAGTGCACTGCCATACCAGGCTAACTATTTTGTATTTTGGTAGAGACAGGGTTTTGCCATGTTGGCCAGGCTGGTCTCGAACTCTTGTGTTCAAGTAATCCGTCTGCCTCAGCCTCCAAAAGAACTGAGATTACAGGTGTGAGACACCACACCTGGCCAGAACTTTTTTTTTTTTAATTGAGATACGATCTTGCTATGTTGCTGAGGCTGGTCTTAAGTGACCCTCCCGGCTTGGCCTCCCAAAGTGCTGGGATTACAGGCGTGAGCCACTGTGCCTGACCATTAACTAACTCTTTTTAATGAAGAGAGGTGGAGAGGAAGGGGTAGCAGAAGCCAAGGAAGAGATTTAAGAAGTAGTCATTGGCAGCATGACTCGGGGTCACAGTCAAGCTGGCTGCAGAGCAGGCAGAGAAGAGACAGTTGAGAGAGGTGGACGCCCCAGGAGAGTTGGGGGTAGGAGGATGCAGGTACAGGAATGGGGGTGACAGGAGAGGAGGAGGAGCTGTGGCTTGGGAGGAGACAAGGCCAGGAGCAGTTTCTAGACTTTTTTTTCTTTTTTTTGAGACAGAATCTCCCGTTGTTGCACACACCGGAGTGCAGTGGCGAAGTCTCGGCTCACTGCAACCTCTGCCTCCCAGGTTCAAGGGATTCTCCTGCCTCAGCCTCCCAAGTAGCTGGGATTACAGGCATGCACCACCACGCCTGGCTAATTTTTGTATTTTTGGTAGAGAAGGCGTTTTGCCACGTTGGCCAGGCTGGTCTCGAACTCCTGACCTCAGGTGATCCATCCACCTCGGCCTCCCAAAGTGCTGGGATTACAGGCGTGACCCACCGCGCCCAGCCTGGTTTCTAGACTTCCTTTAGCATAGGGGAGACCAGAGAGTACCACTAGGCCTCGGGAATGGTGGCAGGGCAGAGAGGGACATGGGGTGGGAGTTGAGTGACAGCCCAGGGTGTGAGGATTGAGGCATGATGCTGGGCCTGGAAAGGTGCCTTGAGAACAAGAGTGAAGAGGAGGGAGTCTGGGGTGCCAAGGAACTCTGTGAATACTCAGCTCTGTGGGGAAGGACGTTGCCCTCCTGGGTGAGCCTCAGACTTATGATAGGCACGGGCCAGCCCCTGGGACACCAGGGTGGCGTCAGCAAAGACCTAAAGAGATTAGGGTGCACACACGCAGCCTAGGAGACAGGAGTGCAGGAGGTGCTGTGCAGCCTGGGGCTAGTTCCTAAACGTCGCTGAACTCCTTTGTAAAGAGGAGAAGGAAAGACGCATTGTACCAGCCCTTCTCTTTCACAGGCAAGGAAAGTGAGAAAGGAAACCAATCAAATTCATGTGAGCTCAAGAGGGCTTCGGGCCTTCCCTGGTCAGCCTGGGGCAGACACTGCCTGCACCTCCCCCTAGACTCCAGCTGCCTTCCACGGTGGCCTGGCGGGAGGAATGAGCCCTCAGAGTCTCTTGAGGCCACACAAGTGCCAGGGGCTGCCACGGCTCCAGGACGCATCTTTTTTTTTTTTTTTTCCGAGACAGGGTCTTGCTCTGTTGTCCAGGCTGGAGTGCAGTAGCACGACCATGGCTCACTCACTGCAGCCTCAACCTCCTGGGCTCAAATGATCCTCCCACCTCAGCCTCCTGCGTAGCTGAAATGACAAATGTGCTCTGCCACGCCCGGCTAATTTTTATTTAAACTTTTTTTTTTTTTTGAGATGGAGTCTTGCCCTGTCACCCAGGCTGGAGTGCAGTGGCGCAATCTCGGCTCAATGCAACCTCCGCCTCCCAGGTTCAAGCAATTCTCCAGCCTCAGCCTCCCAAGTAGCTAGGATTACAGGCCCCTACCACCATGCCCGGCTAATTTTTGTATTTTTAGTAGAAACGGGGTTTCACCATGTTGGCCAGTCTTGTCTTGAACTCCTGACCTCAGGTGATCCGCCCGCCTCAGCCTCCCAAAGTGCTGGGATTACAGGCGTGAGCCACCGCTCCCGGCCTGTTTTAACTTTTTGTAGGGACAGGGTCCCGCTGTGTTGCCCAGTCTGTGGACCTGTTTTTCTTTTGCAGAAAACACACCGTTTCGTTTACTGCTCTGACACCGGCTGGGCTGTGGGCTCGGAGGAATCTGACTTTGAGGGCTGGGCCTTCCCCTTCCCAGGAGTGATGCTGATCGAGGACTTTATGACTCAGGAGGAAGAAGCAGAGCTGGTGCGGCTCATGGACTGTGACCCCTGGAAGCTCTCCCAGTCTGGACGGAGGAAGCAGGTAGGCTGGCCCTGAGCTCATGGGGAGGGCTGGGCTGCATCAGGGGGACCGCCCCACTGCTGGGGCCCTCCTCCTCTGCAGCCACACCCCACGAACCTCCAAGGTTGGTAGTGGGCGAGTTCCCCAGACCTTGAGGCTGTGCGCATCCAGACTCGCTGCAGGACGTGTGTCCAGTGGGCAGAAGTGCGCCCGGGCACCCCGTCTCGTGGGATGCGCTGCTGGGCTCTATGCCCTCTCTGCAGCTGACTTGGTACTGAGGGCATGGGAAAGTTCTGGTGGGGCACCCCATTCTCCCAAGCTACAGGTGCTCCCACCTCTGATTCTCGACATCAGTATCTTGTCTCCTCACCCGAATTCCCACCTTCCCCGCCGCGGCCCATCCTTCTCACCCCAGCTCACTCCTTTCCCACCTGTGGCCCAGCCTCCTCACTTCCCCTCACCTCTGTCCCTCTGTCCCCAGCCTCCATGTGTGGCCACTGGGACAGTCAGTCACATCCCTGGGTGCCCCTCACCCTTCATTGTTTTGTTTGAGGTGGAATCTTGCTCTGTCGCCCAGACTGGCGAGATCTCGGCTCACTGCAACCTCCGTCTCTTGGGTTCAAACAATTCTTCTGCCTCAGCCTCCCCAGTAGCTGGGACTACAGGCACCTCCCACCACGCCTGGCCTTTTTTTGTATTTTTAGTAGAGACAGGTTTTACCATATTGGCCATGCTGGTCTTGAACTCCTGACCTCAGGTGATCCACCCACCTTGGCATCCCAAAGTGCTGAGATTACAGGCCTGAGCCACCGCACCAGGCCTTTTTTTTTTTTTTTTTTTTTTTTTTTTTTGACACAGAGTCTTGCTCTGCCGCCCGAGCTGGAGTGCAGTAGTGTGACCTGAGCTCACTGCAACCTCCCGGGTTCAAGCCATTCTCATGGCTCAGGCTCCCAAATAGCTGGGATTACAGGTGCCCACCACCACACCCGGCTAATTTTTGTATTATTAGTGGATACGGGGTTTCACCATGCTGACCAGGCTGGGCTTGAACTCCTGACCTCAAGTGATCTGCCCACCTCGGCCTCTCAAAGTGCTGGGATTACAGGCGTGATCCACCACACCTGGGCCCATTACCTTTGTGACATTACGTTGGATGTCTGTACATTTCATTTCTTCATTCATCTGTTGACGGACACCGGCGTTTCCATTTCTCGGCTGTTGTGATAGTAATGCTGTTGTGAACATTTGTGTACAGGTTTTTTTTTTTTTTTTTTTTTTTCATTTCTCTCGATTAAATGTCCAAGAGTGCAATTGCTGTGGTGCAGGTTAATTGTATGTTTAGTTTGTTAAAGTGTTTACTAGGATGAACTCAAACTCAGGTCAGTTTTTGTTTATTTTGAGATGTCTCACTCCGTCACCCAGGCTGTGCAGTGGTGCGATCTCGGCTCTCTGCAGCCCTGACCTCCCAGGCTCTGGCTGTCCTCCTGCCTCAGCCTTGAGTAGCGGGGACTAAGGCATGTGCCACCAAGCCCAGCTATTTGTTGTTACTATTTTGAGACAGAGTGTCTCCTTCTGTCTCCCAAGCTGGAGTGCAGTGGTGCAGTCTTCTCTCACTGCAGCCTCCACCTCCCGAGCTCTAACTATCCTCTCACCTCAGCCTCCTAAGTAGCTGAGACTAAATCCTGTGCCACTACATCTGTGTAAATGGTTGTGGTTTTTTTTTTTTTTTTTTCTAAATGAGAGATGGAGTTTTGCTATGTTGCCCAGGTTGGTCTCAAACTCCTGGGCTCAAATGTACCACCTGCCTGGGCCTCCCAAAGTTCTGGGATTACAGGCATGAGCCACCATGCCCAGACTAATTTTAAAATTTCTTGCAGAGAGGAGGTCTCACTTTGTTGCTCAGGCTGGTCTCGAACTCCTGGCCTCAAATGATCCTTCCGTCTCGGCCTCCCAAAGCACTGGGATTACAGGCGTGCACCACCACGCCAGGCCATTTGCTATTACTTCTGCCTCCTTGGGTCCGCGGCCTCCTGCTTCATGTCCATGAAGTAGGGACTTTTGCTTGCCTGGGTCACTGCGATTGAATTCTTCGAACCTAGTGTGCCGTAGACATCTCCGTAAACGCAGACACCTCACGTCCTTTCTGTCTTCATCCTTCAGGACTATGGCCCCAAAGTCAACTTTCGGAAACAGAAGCTAAAGACCGAGGGCTTCTGCGGCCTCCCCAGCTTCAGCCGGGAGGTGGTGCGGAGGATGGGCCTCTATCCGGGGCTGGAGGGCTTCCGGCCAGTCGAGCAGTGCAACCTGGACTACAGCCCCGAGCGCGGCTCGGCCATCGACCCGCACCTGGACGACGCGTGGCTGTGGGGGGAGCGGCTGGTCAGCCTCAACCTCCTGTCCCCCACCGTGCTGTCCATGTGTCGGGAGGCACCCGGGAGCCTGCTCCTCTGCTCCGCCCCCTCAGCCGCCCCGGAGGCCTTGGTCGACAGCGTGATAGCGCCCAGCCGCTCGGTGCTGTGCCAGGAGGTGGAGGTGGCCGTCCCCTTGCCCCGCCGCTCCCTGCTGGTGCTCAAGGGGGCCGCGCGGCACCAGTGGAAGCATGCCATCCACCGCAGACACATCGAGGCCCGCCGCGTCTGCGTCACTTTCCGGGAGCTGTCGGCCGAGTTCGGCCCCGGAGGGAGGCAGCAAGAGCTGGGTCAGGAACTCCTGCGGATCGCCCTCTCCTTCCAGGGCAGACCCGTGTGAGCTGCCTCTCTGGCTCCAGACCTGACTGATCCTGGGATTGAAGCCGGGAGCCCAGAACAGGGCCTTCTGCAATTTACGGGGTGGCGGGAGAAGACGGCTGACCCCTGGTGTTGTGAGCAGCGTGAGTCCTGTCCCGGGAGCGGATTTTGATGGGAAGGCACCTCGGGACAGCCCCTTCCACCTGGACTGTGGCCAGGCTGCTTTTGGTTATCTAGTTTATCACAGTCAAGGGGACATGGGATAGTTTGAGCTTAAAAAATATTGGGGACCGCGCGCAGTGGCTCACGCCTGTAATCGCAGCACTCTGGGAGGCCGACGTGGGCGGATCTCTTGACACCAGAGTTCGTGACCAGCCTGCCCAACATGGCGAAAACCTGTCTCTACAAAAAAAATACGAAACTTAGCCAGGTGTGGTGACTTGCACCTGTAATCCCAGCTACTCGGGAGGCTGAGGTTGGAGAACTGCTGAACCCTGGAGGCGGAGGTTACAGAGAGCGGAGATCACACCACTGCACTTCAGCCTGGCGCACAGAGCAAGACTGTTTAAAAAAAAAAAGGGGGGGGGGCGGGGGGAGAACATTTTAAATGATTTTCTCCTTTATGATGCATCTCTTCTCATGGGGTTTCCCGGTATCTCACCGCCCAGTCCCTTCGATTGTGGAATGTGTTGGGTTGGAGAACAGCTGGTTGCAGATTTGAAGTTTAGACTAAAGAGCTGGTAACAAACAGCTTCAGAGTCAGGCTTGGCCTGAGTCTTGCTTGACAACCCCCCACCGCCCTGCCTAGGGGTTTGGGGATGTGAGGAGGTCAAGGAAATCTGAGCGCCTCCCCCAGCCCCATAATGCTGTTAAGAAGTAGGAAAAATTAAAGCTCCCGGCCAGGCACAGTGGCTCACGCCTGTAATTCCAGCACTTTGGGGGGCTGAGGTGGGAGGATCACTTGAGACCAGCCTGAGCAACATAGTGAGACCCCGTCTCAACAAAAAATAAAAACATTAGCTAGGTGTGGCGGCCTGTAGTCCTAGCTGCTCTAGACGCTGAGTTTAGAGTTTTAGCCCACGAGGTCAAGGCTGCAGTGAGCTCATGATCATCCCACTGTACTCGGCAACAGAGCAAGACTCTGTCTCTAAAATAAATAAAAAGAGAAAAGCTTCTCACCTTCTAGGACACCAAGAGGCTGTTCCCTTGTGATGGGGCTGTGTGTGTGGTGGGGGCTTACCTGGATCAGGTGGCTGCTCTGCTGTCCCTGTGGCCAGGTGAGGGGCAGGCTGAGGGGTGGCCTGGATTCGCATGGCCAGCCTTCCCTCCCACCACTATGGGACAAATGCTCATTTCCCTGCCACCTGCTGGGAACTAAATCCAGGGAACAGGAAAGGTTCGGGGCCAGCACTGCTCTTTACAGTCATCCCCAGAACCCTCTGGAAGCTGTAAGGCTCGGAGCTGTGCACCGTCTGTAAAGGAGCATCCTGCCAGGGGCGGTGGCTCACTCCTGTAATCCCAGCACTTTGGGAGGCTGAGGTGGGTGGATCACAAGGTCAGGAGTTCCAGACCAGCCTGGCCAAGACTGTGAAACCTGTTTATACTAAAAATACAAAATTAGCCAGTTGTGGTGGCACATGGCTGTAATCCCAGCTACTCAGGAGGCTGAGGCAGGAGAATCACTTGAACCCTGAAGGCAGAGGTTGCAGTGAGCCGAGATCATACCACTGTGCTCAAGCCTGGGCGACAGTGAGACGTGAGACTCCATCTGGGAAAAAAAAAAAAAAAAAAAAAAAAAAGCATCTCAGCCGCTGGGCCCCATGGAGGGCTGAAGAACCCAGCACAGACCCAGGGGAGAGGCTGCTAGGTTTCTAGCTGCTGCGAGAGCCCAGCCGCCGGGTGTGTGGGAGTGGCTCCCAGGCCACCTTGCCTTCAGCTTCCTGGTCGGCTCACTTGGAGCAAGAGCATGGAGGCTGGCTTCCTCCCGGTGTCCCAGACCCCGAGTCATGCCTCACTTTGAATCCAGATACGAGTCGGGCTGGAGCTCCAGCTGATCCTCACTGCACTGGAGCAGATAAGCCAGCCCGTGGTCCACTCTCAACGGGGCCAGTGCAGGGTCTCTGTCCCTGACTGGCTGGGCTGGCTCCTGCAGGAGGCTCCAGCAATGCAGGGCTCCATGGGGAGGGACATCCGGAGAACAAGGCACAGAGACTTTGAGGGGAGAGGCCTGCGGAGGCTTGGGGACACTGTGGAGCAAAGAAACCTCTGTCCAGGCCGGGCACGGTGCCTCATGCCTGTAATCCCAGCACTTTGGGAGGCCGAGGCAGGTGGATCACAAGGTCAGGAGTTCAAGACCAGCCTGGCCAAAATGTTGAAACCCCGTCTCTACTACAAATACAAAAATTAGCTTGGCACGGTGGCACGCACCTGTAATCCCAGCTACTCAGGAGGCTGAGGCAGGAGAATCGCTTGAACCTGGGAGGCAGAGGTTTCAGTGAGTCGAGATCGTGCCATTGCACTCCAGCCTGGGTGACAGAGTAAGACTCTGTCTCAAAAAAAAAAAAAAAAAAAAAGAAACCTCTGTCCACAGGGTCCCTCCGTGCTGGCCCTTCCAGCATTCCTCACAACACACTTTAGGAAACTCCATTACCTGGTAAGTTGGGGGCACCCAGAGTTGGGTCTGTCCTTGAAGCTGTGACACCAAGACCCACGACACCTCACCCAACGAGGATGGGGCTGGGGAAGGCCGCGCTGGGATGCTTCTACCACGGGCTGCCCCCTGGTACACTGCTCCATAGCCTCGTATGCTTCCTTTTCCTTTTTTTTTTTTTTTTCTCTTGAGACGGAGTTTCACTCTTGTTGCCTAGGCTGGAGTGCAGTGGCGCAATCTCAACTCACTGCAACCTCCCGTCTCCCAGGTTCAAGTGATTCTCCTGCCTCAGCCTCCCAAGTAGCTGGGATTACAGGCATGTGCCACCATGCCCAGCTAATTTTTTTGTATTTTTAGTAGAGACGGGGTTTCACCATGTTGGTCAGGCCGGTCTCAAACTCCTGACTTCGTGATCCGCCCACCTCAGCCTCCCAAAGTGCTAGGATTACTGGCATGAGCCACCACACCCAACCTGTTTTATTTTTTATTTTTGGAGGCAGGATCTTGCTCTGTTGCCCAGGCTGGAGTACAGTGGTGCAATCATGGCTCACTGCAGCCTCAAACTCCTGGGCTCAAGTGACCTTCCCGCCTCAGCCTCCCAAAGCACTGGGATTAACAGGTGTGAGCCACCATGCCCAGCCTGCCCCATTGTTTCTGAAGGGCTGGGCCCCAGGAGCCACCGCCTACAGGGTAATGTCTGCTTACCCCATGTTTTGGGGGGCTGTTTCTGCATCGGTCAGCACAGTCCTCAGCAGACCAGGCTGCCTGCTCTTATGCTCTTGGAGCTTCAATCAAGGGGACAGTGAGGCATGGGCCTATGGACACACCTGATGGGGAAATGCCACCTCCAAGGGCGGCTTCCGGAGACACCCCACACCAGAGCCGGCCAAGCGGGGGCTCAGCTAACATTCCCCGGCCGCTTCGGAAGGACATTCAGAAACGAGCACAGCATGCTTGTTCAGGGTGGCAGGTGGTGAGGCTGAGGCCAGGGACAGGGTCAAGCTCCATCCGAGGCCCATTCTCTGGGGTTATTCCTGCCTCAATTTGTGTTGAGCCAGCCTGTCTCCTATCCCACAGTACCCAAGGGTGCGTGGGCCACAGACAGGCTGGGAAAGGGTTTAAGACAGGGTCTCACTCTTGTCACCCAGGCTGGAGGGCAGTGGCACAATCTTGGCTCACTGCAGCTTCGACCTCCCTGGGCTCAGATGCTCCTCCCACCTCAGCCTCCCCAGTAGCTGGGACTACAGGCACGTGCCACCAAGCCTGGCTAATCTTTGTATTTTTGTGCAGACGGTCTTGCTATGTTGCCCAGGCTGGTCTCGAACTCCTTGGCTCAAGTGATCCACCCACCTTGGCCTCCCAAAGTGCCAGGATTACAGGTGTGAGCTACAGGTTGGCAGGTTCTACATGGGTCTCAGATCCTGTCTGGGCCTTGCCCTGCTGGCTCCCACCAGGGATCTACAGCATCTAAGGCAAAAAGCCTTGGGCCAGGAGCGGTGGCTCACACCCGTAATCCCAGCACTTTGGGAGGCCGAGGCAGCAGGATCACTTGAGGCCAGGAGTTTGGGACCAGCCTGGCCAACATGGTGAAACCCCATTTCTACTAAAAACACAAAAGTTAGCCAGGCATAGTGGCGGATACTGGTAATCCTAGCTACTTGGGAGGCTGAGGCAGGAGAATTGCTTGAACCTGGGAGGTGGAGGTTGCAGTGAGCCCAGATCGCGCCACTGCACTCTGGCCTGGGCGACAGGGCAAAACTCCATCTTGGAAACAAAAACAAAAAAACATAAGCTGCCTGGCGTTTCCTCATCAGCGCCACCAGCCCACAGGACAGACTCACCTGTTCCGGCTGCCCAACTGGAGAGCCCGGACTCCAGCCTGAGAGCCACAGGGACCTGGAGCTGGAGAATGTCCCGAGGTGACCAGAGCTCGGTGGCTCCTCCTGAAGGGACTCGGGGGACCTCTAAGCCGACCCTGTCCAGATCGGCTCTGTTGTCACTCAGCCACCCTCTGGGGCTGCCCCTTCCTTTGTTGCTGGAAAGAGAGGGTCTTGTCTGGGAGGGGAAGCAGCAGGCAGAGGCACCCTGCGTTCTCAGGGTCCCACCTGGCGGGAGCGCCACAGCGGCGTCTGGGCGTGAGCACCCTGCCTCCATGCTAGAAATGTCCACGCCCCCTCACCGGGGCAGCCCAGGAGGACACTGGCCAGTGACCAGCGACAGGAAAAGGCCTGGGAGCGCTGTGGGTCTCCCCACGCAGTAGACGCCAGGGGAGGGCCGGGGGCTGTGGTTTATCCCCTCTGCCCACAGCATCCCTCCCAAGAACAGAAAGACTTTCAATAGCATCACAGGTTTATTCCGTTTCACCCAGGGCAAGTGTTTTAGAAGCCCACACACAGGATAGTGGATGAGTTTGCCGCAGGTGATCTACATAACCGCCATGCACAGATCATCAGCACGAGGCAAGAAGGGGCTGCAGCTGACTCTGCGTCCACTCAGCTTTAAGTGGTCTGGTCCTCAGCAGACCCGCCTAGAAGACGCTAAAACACGTTCCGCCTTCCAAGTTTCTAAAACAGAAACAGCTGTGTTTTGAAACATGTGGTCAGATGCTAAACGGAGTGGGTGTCCCATGTGGGAGGGGCCTTGGCATGTCTAGGCACCAGGAAGGATGTGCTGCAAATTAGGACAGGCCCCGGCTGGCTCCAGGGCACACTGAGGCAGAGGGCCCTGTTTTTGCTTTTTTTGAGACAGTCTCACTCTGTCACCCAGGCTGGAGTGCAGTGTCACGATCTCAGCTTACTGCAACCTCTGCCTCCTGGGTTCCAGCGATTCTCTTGCCTCAGCCTCCATAATCTAGCTGGGATTACGGGCGTGTGTCACCATGCTCAGCTAATTTTTATATTTTTAGTAGAGACAGGGTTTCACCATGTTGGCCAGGCTGTTCTCCCACTCCTGACCTCAGGCGAGCCTCCTGCCTTGGCCTCCCAAAGTGTTGGGATTACAGGCGTGAGCCACCACGCTCAGCCAGGAGGCCTCTGCTCTTAAACACTCTTCAAAGTCGGGCTAAACCTCAGGAAACCGAACTTCTAGGCTGCAATGGTGTTCCCCATCACCCACGGCGCCCCTCAAGGTGTTTCTGCAGCTCCGACAGCAGCTCAGCCTCCATGTCCCCACTCGCTCTGGGGGCGACCCCGGTTTCCTCTCCCAGCCGCCATGGCCCTACCCACAGTCACTGCTATTCCCACAGCAAGGGTTTGCC